GGGCAATGCTAGTATAATATAATTTCGTACGCTTACATCACTGTGGCTCACAAATTATATCTATGCAATAAAACCCAGTTTCAATAACAATATGTTGTACGTGATTAAATCGCTTATTAGATCTGGTATCTTGTACGAGTCTAAAGCAATCTACAGACTGAAAGAGCGAAACTGTGAACTAGTAAGACATATTGAAGTAATCAGATCTTTGTTGAAGTATAGTTGTATAACTATTGCCTTAAACTTTACGTTCAACATCTAACTAGGCGTTTGGAGAGTAAATTGCTATTCATTATGCGCACAGTTGCTACACATGGCGCCAGCTTCGAATACCAAATGCATGATCCCATTTTAGACTTATGCGAATTTATTGTATCCGACTACATTGTTAAGAAAAATGTTTTTTTATACTATCATATTAATATCTTTTTATTATCTTTTAACTTTCTATATTAATATTATAAAGAGGAAAGATTTGATTTTTTTCGTTTGTTTGTACAGAATAGGCTCCGAAACCGATATAGATGAAACTTGGTAACAAGATAGTTTGAGACCCTGGGAAGCACGTAGGATACTTTTTATCCTGGAAATCATCACTTAAGTGGGTGAAAATGGGGATGAACGTTTGTATAGGGAATCAACCTAGGGACGCACCCGAGCGAAACGAGGTGAGTCGCTAGTTACAAATACACCCAAAAAGTAGCATTAGAAATGAATACCTACTTTGAAGTTTGAAGTGGACCAAAAAATTGTATTAAGTAGGATATTTCGGAAGTAATAAAATCTTAACATTTTTAGAATTTTAATTTAAATCACTTGACGACGGCCACAAGATTTTCTTTCGTTTAGGTAATTAGTTTGAATAACATAATATCTTAGCTCTCTGTCCTTCACGCTGCTGTTGTCATGCATACTATGTCGATATTTAATATAGGTAAGTAATAAAAGGAAACCGCAGTCAATTAATTTTATCAATACATATAATAAAATTTGAACTGAGTCGAATCTATACTTATGTATTAAAATTATTATGTACTTATGTACATAATATTTTTTTTTAAAATCAGAAGCCGAATCTATAGTTTTTAGTATTTTTGTCTGTTTTCTGTCTGTTTGTCTGTCTGGGATCGCATCACGGGGAAACCACTAGACAGATTTTGATGAAGTTTGGTATGAAGATAACTGTTTATTCGGGTCAATATTTGACCCAGATAACCAGCCGGTTTATCCTAAAGGATACTTTTTATTGCGAGAAAATATCTCACCTCTGAGAAATCTATACTAAACGTAAAACGTACCTAGGGATATTTTATTATGTACCGAGAGGAGCGAGGGTGCTAGTAGCTTATAAAATTTTGCATATAAAGAAATCAAGTTTTAAATATAGAGAGAGAGATGAGATATACTCAGCGGTTCCCAATTTTTTTCAACCCTAATTGATCATAATTTTTTTAAAAGTTCCCCATTTTGATAATAACTAAACTGATTGTGTTCTAGTTAGGATACTTTCTTGTTTGACTTGAAATAACAAATCATAAATGAAAAATATTTTTTTTCACATACTTATTTATAAAGACATTAAAATGAGGCTTCATGTCTGACAACGTTTTATTTAACCTTCGGGCGGAACTCAGAGTCCGTGTGACTCTTCCACGGAACCCTAGGGTACCGCGGACCACCATGTGGGAACCTCTGGTATATCTCATTATCAATAACTTCACAACACTAACAAAACTGTTCATAGGTTTCTAGAAACCCAAAAAAATTGAAAACCTTTTAAACAAAAACAGAAGCTTTCCCTCAGATTATTTGTTCTTATTATTAACTCACAAACTGCCCGGGCTTCTTGTAGGCGTATTTGTTATCATGGTATCAGTTCATTTTATTTCGTTCGTAGTGTCTACATATTTTATTTTATTATTTACTAGCGAGTGAGTCCCTTGGTGCCTGACAGCAGCCTATGTGTTACGCAAGCTTATAGTCTATCTGTGTAATATACATACATATTACACACACATATATAATATTTCACATTTATAATATATAGTAATCTGACATTACTTATTTTAGAATATATTTTACTTAATATTTCCATACGATATAGTGGCTAACATGTACGGCTGCACATACGGAGATCCTGGGTTCGAGCTCCGGATCGGGCCAAGTTTAATAATTGAGTATTTCTGCTATGAAAGCTTCAGCAAACGCTTCAGTAAAAGAGTTGGGAAGTTGGAAGACAAACGTGTCGTCAAACTTACGCTTGTGCACAATAATATAGGACATACTACTTAGTTCTACTTTTAATTACAATACAGTGCTGTTATGTAACTAAATCTGAATTATTTTATAAAACTTCAAATTTGCATCGTAAATGAATATTAATTCAAATTGATCTTTACGACAAAAAGAAAAAATAAAACATTTATAATTGAAAATAAAAGTACAACTGCAACACAATTTCAAATTAATTACACGTACATAGGACAAAAAACATATTATAGTATAAAAATATAAGTATAGAAAAAAGGTATACCTAGTAGAATCCATATCGACCCGGCACGGTCTGTGCAAAGAACATTGGGCAAACCCAAAGATAACGGGGAAGGAACGGCCTCACTTAACAATATATAATGAAACCTACCTACCTATTAGTAACCATAATCAAAATTCTATACCCTTCACCTATACTAATATTATAAAGAGGCAGAGTTTGTTTGTTTGAACGCGCTTACTTCAGGAACTACTAATGCGATTTGTAAAATTCTTTTTGCATTAGATAACCCGTTTATTGAGGAAGTTTATAAGTATATATCATCATACCTTCTCTAGGGAGCGGACCAGTAATGATGAATGTCAACGAATCGGGCAGCCTTTCATACATTATTGTAAAACTATGTATATTATTGTATATATACATAGGGACGAACCCAAGCGAAGCGAGAGTGAATCGCTAGTAGGAGATTAAAGGAAACTTTTTAAATAAAACTATCTTTTCAGATTCTAGTGCGATTTTTTTTTTAAATAAAAATGTCAAATATTCGCGTAAATTTAAGAAAGCATATAAAGAAACTTCATTTTCAATAATGTTCGGACGTTTGCGATTCAATTCAATATTTAATATAATTCGTTTTGTTTTCGATGTGATATCTTTACATAGTATAAAACTGTCTGTTCGCTTAGATCTTTTAAACTACTCGACCGATTTTAATGCAGTTTTCAGCAATAGATAGGAGTCATTCAAGAGGAAGGATTATATGTAGGTATAATACATGCATATTATAATACAGCAATACCGACAACAAATTCAAAGATTTGTATTTCATACGAACTGTCAAAACTTACCTAGGAACGAACCCGAGCGAAGCGAGGGTGAGTCGCTAGTAAGTATATCATTGATGAGCAAAAATTCTCATTTTTTTATTATCTTCTAAACTGTTACATACTGTGAAGGGTACATTTTACCTCTGTTAAGTGCTTGTGATGATATTATAAAATAGAAGAAGAATAATGTATTTTATAAGGATAAAATTATAAGAAGTTCAAAATTTAGATGTAATTAACATTAGTTACTTATAATAACAACTTAGCAACGATTAAGACAATGCTTAAAACAGCATTTGCGCTGGTATTTCCCATAAAAAAAATTGAATAGACGGAAACCATGTCATATGATCAGTAAAAAAACCATAATGATAAAGTGTTTAGATTTCCCCAGGCAAGATATGTATATGTATGTGAGAAGACGTACAGAAAACACAAATGAAATATATTGTTGATACAACAAAATTTACCAAAAAGTGCGATTGTTATATAAATAAAACTTGCACGAAATGACATTCGCAAAATATTCATTTATATTTCAATCCTATTTCAATATAATATTTATTTATTATTGTTTATTAAATTCTTAATCTTGCTAATGATTTACCCTCGTTTCGTCAAATGCATCCGTAGGTGCCTTACAGTAAGTAGCCAATGTGACGCTCATAGTATATCTGTATATATGTGCGTCTGTACCTATCATCCAAATCCATATAGCGTTAAGAAGTAGCAAACAAACATACACACAAATTTCCGCAATTATAATAGATACCTAAATAATAACTATTTTATAGTTACATATTATATTATACAGTGGAATATAAATTATTAAATGTGATTTATATTACACCACTATACACTTTGGCATGCAATAGGTAGGTACCTAACTTAGCATGTTTTTTCCTTTATTCACAAATTAACACGAAAATTTTACATTTATTCAAATTACAATATGAACTCGCTCTCTACGTTATCCATTAAAAAAAATATGTTTGAGAGTGTTTGAAACGATGAATTCTAATCAACCATCTTTATTATAATACTTTCTTAGATTTACGCGAATATAAAGAGTTTCGGAGACTCTTTCCTAAGACCATGATTGCTGTAAAGTATTCGAAACACCAAACTTAATCAAATTGAATCCACAAACAAATCCGAAAATATAGTTTAATTTAAAATCTCTATTATTTATTATGTCTGTTTGCAGGTAATTCAAGATCATAGAAAAATTTCATTTCTATCGCCTTGTTAGATCTTGATAACTCGAACCCCCTGTTCTTTACGTTCTCTTATAAAGGTCACATTAAGTGGTGGTGACCGAAACCGTAAGTAAAATTATGATGGAAGATATTTCTTTTCATAGAGGAAAGCGAACTATCTCATCCTTGCTACAAGCTATGAAAGCTTTGAAATCATTTATCGGAAAGACGCAGGCAGTATGTGGGCATTTGATGGTACGTATTGTTTCCATAAGAATGAGTCCGCACCAGTAAAGTTTAAAAAGTGTCATAAACTCAGAGATCAACTTAGAGTAAAATACACATTTTTGTTACAACAACATCAACTATTATTAAATATTTTAGTCATAGTTCCAGTGTTCTAGCCCTAAAAAATAACTCAAATCCAACTACTATTACAAATGTAAAAAAAAATATATAAATAAGATAAATATTAAATACCTTATCTCCGTCAGTTGGTAAGGTCCCATATCCATACCAGCTTCTTGCAGGCCTTAATCTCGGCTCATCTTTTGGAGACAAAAGTCCACTTCCCCAACGAACCACCCCTTCGGCGACCGCTGCTACTCCAGGAGTTAGAGGACTTCCGTTTGGCGATTTGGGAGATACTCCCTTCTCAGCCACAGGCGGTAGTGTAGGACGAGCACACCCTGTCCTTCTCTCGTATATACGTTTACAAGTATCATCTATATCAGTCTCGAGCAATCCTTTTTTATCTCCTCCTCGTTTTACCTCGAGACTTCGCTTACTCTCATCCTGCCGCTGCAACCATTTAGGATCAGAATCACGCCTCTTCGCACTGTCGTTCGAGTCTTGCCGGCATAGCAATGACTTTTTCAAACTTTCACTGGAATCTTGTTTAACTATAGTCTTTTTATCAGATTCTTTTATTGGGCACTTTTTGTCGTCTTTAGACAAAAGTGCCCGTTTCAAACTATCAGATGAGTCTTGCTTGTTTATTAGTTTCCTTGGACATTCTGTGTTTAGGGAGTCGGTGGTTTTCGAGATGAGGAGTTTGGGGTAGTCGTAGGGTGCATGGTCGTTGGACGGAGGGTTTAGCTCTAGAGATCTACGGTTTTTCTTCTTATCTGCGGGTGCTATCTGCGCCTTAGCCGGCAGCAGACGCCGCGGCAGGAGGCTGCGATGATCAGCGAGAGGTGATTCTGGTCGCAACATTTTTGGCGGCGATGTGAGGCTGCCGCTTGTTATATATCCCCTGAAACAAACAAAAGTAAATTTAATATTATAATGAATACTCGTAACAGAAAGCTAAAACATTTTTATTATGGAATGTTATTTATATTATTTGTAGTAACTCAGAAAAAGAATATATTTTTTTTGTGTAATTTACTTCAACTAATAAATGAAATTACATTTTGGGATCTTTTAATATTTCTTATAAGCTATTTTAAAAACATTATAGTAAATTTTAGTTTAAAGATTCTGTTCATATTTTTCATGTAAAATATAGCGCAGTTACTCCTATAAAGATTTTGTTAGTTCATAGTAACACGTCTGTACATGGAAAATATTTGAGAAAAACTATTATTGAAAGTTAACTATTATTAAGAGATTAACATAATAGAACCCAAAACAATATTTTTTTAGATTTTTTGTTTATTTGTGCGTATGTGCGCGCGAATCTCAGAAACGGCTTACCTGATTTGAGTGCGGTTTTCCCTAATGTATTGTAAGCTGCGCTTAACATATAGTACATGTATCATTTCAATCAGTTCATAGATAAAAAAGTTATGTCAATTTAAAGAGTCACCCAGAAACGAACCCGAGTGGAGCGAGGGTGTGTCGCTAGTATATAACAATAAATGGTATGAAATAGGTATCTTCATGGCATATTAAAATAATGAGTGATGACTGTACATGTCTCTTAAACGCGAGTAGATAAGTCACGAACGTATGTAAAAATATAAACTTATTATAATAGAACTTGTTGCGATGAATTCATTTATGCTAATGGATCTGTTTTCGTGTTAAAATTATGAAGCAATAGTTTTTCAGTATATTTTCAGTTGGAGGATCAATGACATAAATTCTTTATGAGAATCGAATTCTAAACACCAATTGGAAACAGTATTAATAATACGTTCTTCTAAACGATTTCCAAAATGGTGTCCCATCTTATTATAGTTTAGTAATGAACCGTACAAAAATCAGCACTAGCACAAGTTCTCCATGTCTTTGATTTTCAAAGCCTCATTGAACTATGAGAATAATATATAGTTATATGTATATATGCGATGATTACATTTTATTCTGTTGAATAAAGATAATATTATTTATAGTATACTAGCGTCTCACCCTCGCTTCTCTCGGGTTCGTCCCTAGGTACGTTTATTAGTCTATAATAGATGAACTAAATACTATTATATATATATGTATATATCATTTTTTTCTAACTTAAACTAGACGCATGGTAGGTCCACCACTATTGAAAGTAATCCGAAGTACTGATTCCCATACAAAATAACCAGTTCTGAAATTTTCGATTTTCCAGCTGCTCTTATGGGTTTTTCCTGTTTTTTTTTTTATATTTAGAGCATCCCTGATATACCTCTAATAAAACAAAAAAAGAATTATTCAAATCGGTTCAGCCATTTTCGAGTTTTAGCGAGACTAACGAACAGCAATTGATTTTTATATATAAGATAAATATAATAAGATAGATTCAAAAATTAACCAAAACGAAACAAGCTGAAAATATGCCGAGCATCATTTGCAGGAATCAACTACCCGACCTTCAGCTTGAATGGTAAAGGTTTTAAAAGCTTTAGATTCCACAATTTTAACCTAAAACCTTCTCTACGAAAATAATTTTATTAAATCCTTTGTAGATTAAGTTCAATGAAAAGAATAGGAATGAGAAGCGAAAAAGTTTTATCTTATTAGTGTGCTGAAATCAATGCTCTTTGATAAAATCTCTAAGGACTTTATTTAAGAAACCCACTTAATTTCTTAGATTTTTACAAACTTTACTAATATCTTTAAGTAAAAGATTCACCTATACAGATAAATAAAATCGAAGTGTCTGTTTGTAATATCACAATAACAGCTTTTTACTAAATGTATATGAAAGTATATGCGGTACTAATAAGAAAAAAACATTTTTTGTATGTCTGTCTGTTTGTTCCGGCTAATTTACAAAAAGGCTGAACCGATTTTAAACGTATTTTCATTGGCAGATAGCTGATGCTATAAGGAGTAACTTGGCTACTTTTAGTTTAGAAAAAGCATAAGGGTTCCGCGTAAAAAAATCAAAACCCATAAAATTGTAAACAAAATCAGCTTACTTAGAGAGGCACCCGAGCAAAGCGGGGTAAGTTATTTATAATAATAAATTGATAAATCCAATACTAAATTCTTTACTTATTACTGAACATAGACGTAGAACTTGTCAAAGGCATAAAATAACTAATGCATTATAAATATTCAATTACCATTAGAATATGATCAATCGTACACAATAAATTCCACAATTATTACGTCAGTAATTAACTATTTAAGTATTCTTAACTTTCATAAATTATAACATGATGTATTTGAAAAACAGACTATCATTTAACTATTAAACACTTTAGTTAAGTAATTATGTATTATTTTATTATCATCTATTGAAGTCCATGAAGTCATTCTATACAACATTAGAATTGTAATTAAATATCAAGAATATATGCGTATATTTATAATATTTTACTAAAACACTAAATATAACTCGATTTATATAGAAGCTCAAAGAACGGAGACCTTAATCTTTAGTTTTCTTACCCGACAGCGGCGAAGCTTAAAAGAGGGTTATGTGTAAAAAACAATGTACAACGTTGACCTCGTTACATACATACATACATATGATGTGTGAGTTTATTTACTTCTGAATAGTTTAATGTGGGCAACATTATTTTATTTGATATGTCAGACCAATACTAGTAATTAAAATTATTTTTCACGTGTTCGTCATATGGTAACCTCAGCTTTCATCGCTACTATTCAAGATACCTGTAAACACAAAATTCCTCCTGGGTGACGTCAGAGCCGGGTGACGTAAACGAAATTTATATTCAAACCAATGACTAAGTATTTATTTATATTTGTTTATTATTACTAAGCAGATTTTGTGTTTACTTTATTTTATCTCCCTCAAAGCTAACAAAACATACATATTTTTTTCATTTAAAATAAATAACATATTGATGATGATGATGTTCTCCTGGCCGATAGCGGCCACGGCGGCCAATCTCATTGAGACTAGCCAACTGCGCAGGAGATATTATAGTGCACAAGTGTACGCGCAGACACAACGTGCACTCTCTATTCCTATCACTCTCATACTCCAGTGGGACCACTGCTCGACACGATCAGTGAGAGTTAAGGCGCAAGACCGAACGACGGCTTTACGTGCTCTCCGAGGTACAGGGGTGAAACACCGCCAACTTCCCAACTCCGGGCTGTTACTGAGACTTACAACACAGAAAGACTCAATAACTAAATATGGCCCTACCCGGGACTCGAACCCAGGTCCTCCGAGTGCGAAGCTGTACATACTAGCCACTACACCACCGAGGCAGTTAAATAACATATTATAGGTATGATATTAATGCGTAAAAATCAGCAAGATCGCGAATTATCTGTATACGCCAGATCATAGCATCTCAGCTTCCAGTGTGCCGAAAACAGGAAAAAAAACAATACCGCTATCGCGATTCTTTTTCCAGAAGCCTTGGAAATGACGAAGAAGATATCCTTGATAACATAAAAACTATTAATAGGGTACCAGTAATCGTGGAGACTAACAAGTTTTAGTCATACACCGTAAATCTTTGTTATTTAGATTTCACGCTTTTTATACTGCGTAGGTATAAATAACATCGAATTAAATCAGTGTAGAACGTGTAACGATGTATATAAGAACGCTATAATATTTATTTATTTTTAACATTTAACACACAGCACCATCTAATTCCATGGTAAGCTACGAGGCTTGTGTTATGGATACCAGATAGTTGATACACTACACATATTATAAAACTTTAAAATACATACATATTATAAATATCAACGCCCAAGACTGGGGTACAAAAATTCGTGTTCATCACACAAATGAATGCCCCCAGCGGACTCGAACCCGCGACCGCTGGCACTGTAAGTATAATCACTACAAACTAATATATACATATACCTAATAACTTTTTGAGTACCTACGATATTATTTTTTTTTTTAGATTTTAATTTTAGATTAAGTATGTATTTGATAGATTATTTTCCATTCAAAATGTGTACGGTAAATGAGTGGAGGAATAAGACAAATAAAAAAACACAGCATCTCGATCTGTCTCTCTAATTTATACTTAGTTTTTTTTTATTTGACGAAACAATATTCCTGCTTAACGGATATAACGATAATGTCAATATTATCATATAATTGTGAGATGTGAGATACGATATTTCGCGTGTTCTTTATACCTATTTTATACTAAAACATTCCCATTCCATCATAAAAATAATATTAGTGACCATGAATATTTAAAAACTTGAATTAACATATTTACCTTAATAATAAAAAAGAAATACATAATAATGACTTTACGGGTATTGTTATTTATAATATAAAGACATATTATGTCATATAAAAGTAGCAGAACCCGCGGCTTCGCTCGCGCTAAAATTACAGAAAAAAAAACTCTAAAAAGGTAGGTTTCATACAAACTTATATCCCACATTTTACCCCGTTATGGGATGAATTTCGAAAAATGCTAAAACACGTAGTTATCTTATTGTTTTAAAGAGCATTAATACCAAGTTTTAAGTAAGTACGATCTAAAATTTTTTTTGGGTTTTATTATAACGTGTTTTCCCGAGGGAATGAGATAATCTCCCGCGGTAAAAAGTAGCCCATGTTACTCTCCAGTTATCCACTCCTCCAATTATCACCAGAGAAAAAATCAAGCCAATCCGTCACTCTGTTTTGACGTGAAATAAGGATAAATAAATAAACAAACAAACAGAATTTCACATTTATAATATTACTATGGATATGGATTTTCGTGACCGTATTCGTAATACTTCGCCACCTAAACGGTTTGATCGATTTTGATTTGACTTTTTATGTACTTACGGGGTCATCTGAATGGTCATATTAGCTATAGTTGGACACGGTAGGTGGCGCTGTTGTCGAGATCCAGTTTTTTTTTTAAATAACCTGACTAAACGATACCTATGACAGCATAACGTCTCCCTATTCATCTTTCGGGTCCGCCAGATGTTACATCACACTAAAAATATATTCTCTTGAAAACAGCACAAATAAACTACATGCTAATGCAAATATGACGTTTTTAATATCCTCCAACGTCTGCATTACTTCGCACAAGAGTTTAAATTAATCTTTCAACTAACTGCTTTGTTTGATAAGAAAAACCAGTGAATGTTTTCTGAGTCACAGCATTGTTTGATACTAACTTCTCCTAGTATTACTTCACACTGTAAATCGGCTTATCAACATGTAATGAATAAAGATTGAGAAACATACATACTATTACCATTCTGTGCCCAATTTTATCATATTTGTACATCTAAGTTAGGAACGTCTTAAGAAGATATGTATGAACATTAAAAATATTTCAATTTAGTTTTAGTTCCTGTTGCTTCAAATATAATTATGTAAATAAGGTAATTTTTACGGAATTCTTATGATAGCAAAAATGTGGATATTGGTTTTTAATATAAAAATAAGAACAGAAATTCTATGCTAAATTGTTTGTTGAATTATTGAATATGCTAATCTCTGGAGCTACTAGTCCAATTTTCATGAAAACGCGTTGATATACATCTATGTATACATATAATACAATTCTCAGTCGAATCTGTACATTAAATATTTTTTGGAAAATCTTATTGAAATAGACATTATTATCGATACAGAGTTATTGTGACAATATCAAAATAAAGTCATATAATATTAAATACGTTACGCCATTTAATAATGTATTCTTTAATAAATGCAAATATCGCAACACAATATATCGCAAATATGTCAATGTCAATAACCTATGAACTTTTATATCACCTTGTACTCTTTAACATTTACGTATTTTACTTTTTATAAGCTAATAAAAGAGAGTCATTTAATAAAATATTATCTGTAAAACACTTGTGACCATAATGGCACTGGTAGCCCAGTGGTAACGCGCTCGCTTGGGAAACCGAGTGAAGCAAGTTCAAATCCCGGGTCTCGCACCTTTGATATTTTCACGTGCGAATTATTTCCAACATGATTACCGTTTGTCTTACGGTTAAGGAAAACATCGTGAGGAAACCTCTGAGAGAACCTAGCAAGTTATATAAAGACATTCGCAATCCGCCAACCTGCACATCGCCAACGTGGTGGGCTATGGCCTGATCCCCCTCAAAAAATGGCTGAATATGATTATAATACTTGTGACTATTGGAAAGACAGATAAGTGTAGGAATTAGTATCAACAATGCGGTGCAATGAAGCATTGGAGCCTTGATAAGCTTTAACTTCCGCATTAGTTATTGACTTAGATGTATTTAGTACCTTGTCACCCACTATTTTCAAGGCTGTACTCAACAATTCGACAAAATTGTTACAAACAATCATAATATTATAGTTATGAAAAGCTATTATTACGGAGGTCACATGTTCGATTCCAAACTTATGTATTTGCTCACACACAATGATGGAAAAAATAAGTATATCTCTACCTATATTTTGCTTGGAAATTATCATAAGCATTCTAAACTGATCAACTATAGTCTACATACATTTACAATTAACATATTCTAGATATTTAATTAATTTGTATGATACCTACTACTCAAATGTAAATGCTGTTATATCTTGCTTGCTTAAACAGCAAAATTACGAGTAGTATAATACCTAGAAATTTTTTCTCTATGTAATACCATTTTTTCTTTTTCCGGCAGTCACTAAAAACATTAAAAACTTATTAATAATACGTTCGCATGAAAAACTGCTTCGTGAGTGCGATTATCAAAGCTTTTTGTCAAGACATTTACTATCAAATTCCGGACTTTAGACTCTGAAAATAAGAAAATAGAGTGCAATTATGTATATAGTTTTACGTAGCAGTTATTTTAAAAGTAGGCTCAATAAAAATTGATTAACAAATATAATCAGTCAAGAATGAATTCTAGCGAATCACCCTCGCCTCGCTCGGGTTGGCCTCTAGAAATACAAAAAAAATGTATCCAACTACATTTTTCGCGGGATAAAAAGTAGCTATGTGTTACTCTGATAAATGAGCTATGATATTCTAAAGTTTCATCAAAATCTATTCAGTAGTTTTTGTGTGACAGAGTAACAAACATCTATACATCTAGTATTAAATACGAAAAAACATCACTTAAACAATCAATTACTCAACACTCTTTTGTAGAATATATTTTAACTAGCATTGCCCGCGGCTCCGCCCGCGTTCAGATGACCAAAAACTAAATTCTTAGGTGTTACATATTAGTATACTCTTACATTGCAGTTTTTGTATTTTTCCTCAGAAATAAGATATTTTCCCGCGGTAAAAAGTATCCTAGGATCGCGCGCTACATCGCCCGGTTTATATAGCTTGAGCAGGCGGTCGAGCGATGCGGGGCAGAGGGGATGGACTCGCCGTAGGCATCTCAATGCTCGCCAAGCATTAAAAATGTTTCGCTACTAATTACTTCTAACAACGATATCTCAAAAACTATTCATCTGATTGATTTAGTGTAAAGAGCAATTTTAATCTGCATTAAATGACTAAGCTAACTAAAATATTCATTTGGATAAGGATTAATACCGAACTAAAGAAAATAACTTTGAAAATAACGTAATGTTTTTAATTAAAAATGTTAACATAAAAGTGGTTATTGTAAGTCAACCGTAAGAGATAGAGATATGCTATCGCGGACTTTTTTGTAGCATTTTTATAGATTTTGAATTCTCTAGTACATTACTTAACTGTATCTTTGCTAGTTTACGCGGCGTTCGCGTGGAAAGTTCCCATTTGGCGAGATTTTTTGCGACCTCTTCAACATTTGTCGCCGTATTTCAGCTAATTTACATAAAAGCATAATAAATTATATACCTAAACCTTCCTCAAGAATTACTCTTTCTATTGTTGAAAACCGTATAAAAATCCGTTCAGTAGTTTTCGAGTTTATCGCGTACAGACAGACAGGAGGACAGAAAGACGCGGCCGGGGGACTTATTTTTATAATAAGTATAGATATTTATTATTTATGCAAATACGCTAATATAATATCTAAATCAACGCAAAGAGAACACTTTCAACAACTTGTTTGTGAAACGAGTTTTACCTGACATATAAAAGTTATCTAAATTTCTTGTTAAACATAATATGTATAATAATAAGTAAGTACTAAAACACCAAAAGAAACAAAAAATAAACTGTAATCCATTAGACTTTTATTGTGCAATCTAATGAGTTTCAAGGATATTCACTTAATAACCTTCGATATACAACAAAACTTTTAACACTAGCGGCTTACCATCGCCTCGCTTGGGTGCGTCCCCAGATGACTTTTGTATCAATAATCTATA